GGTATAGAGTTTTTGAAGTTTGAAATGATCTGCTGGTCCATGGGCTGGAGGAGAGGAGTGGTATTAGGGGGCAAGAACTCGCCATGATGAAATTAAACTCCTTCACCATTTGCTCTTCCAAGTCTGGAGGATGAGCAGGAGCAATGTCCATTACCAGGAGGCGTTTCATACGACCGCCGATTTCTAAGCCAAATAACAAAAATTGAGCCAATATTTTGACGAAAAAAGTCTCCGATTTCCAAAATTCACAATATTCAAGGGGGATGAAATTCAAGGGTCCACTGTATAGTCTGTGTATTTTGTTTAGAAATACAGTGGACCCCCCTCGCCTTACGATATTAATCCGTTCCTGAGAGCTCAGGATAAATACTATATGAAAATACACTTCAAAGTCGGCGTTTTAATCCAAACAAACGGTTATTTTTTTTTTTTCTCATTAGGCACTGCGTGCTGCAGTATTTTTTTTTTTTTGGGGTGCATACTGACCACACAGACCCATTCTCTCACATGTGGGCCTACCAGCTTTCTCCTGCTTGATTTGAAGCCACTAGAATTTATGCATATTAATACGTCCGAAACACTGGCTCGTAAGACGTATATATACAGTGGACCCCCGGTTAACGAACTTTTTTCATTCCAGTAGTATGTTCAGGTGCCAGTACTGACCGAATTTTTTCCCATAAGGAATATTGTGAAGTAGATTAGCCATTTCAGACCCCCAAACATACACGTACAAACGCACTTACATAAATACACTTACATAATTGGTCGCATTTGGAGGTGATCGCTAAGCGGGGGTCCACTGTACAACCAAAACAGCCAAAGGGTTAAAATCTTGCATTTCTACTCTTTAACCCCTTTCATGGTCCGTGCCATAGATCTACGGCTTTACGTTGAGGGTCCAAACCGTAGATATACGTCATGAGCTCAGCTCACTCTGATGAGCTGTGAGCGGTAAATTTGGGCCTAGATATGAGAGAGTACATCTGTGTGGTATGTGTGCACCACATAAAACAAATCCTGCAGCACCCAGGGCATAATGAGAGAAAAAAAACTGAGACCGTAATTTTTCATTAAATCAGCGACTTTGCAGTGTTTTATCGTATGTTTTTTTTATAGTTGTATTTGCAATTTTTTGGTCTCATTTGATAGAATGGAAAACATATTACAGAAATAGAGATGATTTTTATTGGTTTTAGTACTGGAAATGGCTTGAAACTGAGCTCAAATTAGCGGAAATGTTAAATTTTTGCCGATGTTCAAGAGTAAACAAATGACCTCACACATCCAATACACGCCAGCTGGTGGGTCTAATATATGTTCACAAATGTGGTCATATTATTTATAAAATTATTACAATATTGCATAACAGTAAATCTTCAATTTTTTGGTTTGATAAAAATTCATTATGGGAATCAAAAATCAAAATGGAATTCATTTGTAAAGCCTGAAAACGTAACTGATGAACAGAGGAAGTGTTAGTTTCGTGCCAGGAATGCCTACATTATTTATTCTGGACCCTATTTTGAAACTGGAATATTTTGAACTTTGCATTAAATTGGCTAAATTACCAATTTCCGATCACTTTATCTTGTTGAAGCAGTAGACTTGGTGATTTTTTGTGCTCAATCGATAGAATAGAAGTAATATTAGTGAAATAGCTAAGAATCTGGTTGGCTGGAATAATGTAATTGGCCTAAAATGGGAGTCAAAGTCGGCAAAATCGCTGATGCATAAATATCGCTGACACATCAAAATTCTTTAGAGCATAATTTCGTCAATTTTCCATCAAATTTCGTACTTTTTGTTTTATTACCTACAAAAAAAGATTCTCTTCCATTTCAAAAGAAAAAAATAACAAAATTATTTTTTGAAAAATTCTTGGACACTGGTACACACTTTGAAGTTTGGCCTCTGGACCCTGAAAGGGTTAAACTGCATCTGCCACTTCTCAGACATCAACCTATCCAGATCATCCTGTAGCACTCTGGTGTACTCCTCTGGAAATATTTGATGGCTTATGTTAAAAGCAGGTGGGGATATAGTTTTGGAGTGGTTGGTGCAATTATTTAATAAATGTATGGAAGAGGGTAAGGTACCTAGGGATTGGCAGAGAGCATGCATAGTTCCTTTGTATAAAGGCAAAGGGGATAAAAGAGAGTGCAAAAATTATAGGGGGATAAGTCTGCTGAGTATACCTGGTAAAGTGTATGGTAGTTATTATTGAAAGAATTAAGAGTAAGACGGAGAATAGGATAGCAGATGAACAAGGAGGCTTTAGGAAAGGTAGGGGGTGTGTGGACCAGGTGTTTACAGTGAAACATATAAGTGAACAGTATTTAGATAAGGCTAAAGAGGTCTTTGTGGCATTTATGGATTTGGAAAAGGCATATGACAGGGTGGATAGGGGGGCAATGTGGCAGATGTTGCAGGAGGTAGGTTACTGAAAGCAGTGAAGAGTTTTTACGAGGATAGTGAGGCTCAAGTTAGGGTATGTAGGAAAGAGGGAAATTATTTCCCAGTAAAAGTAGGCCTTAGACAAGGATGTGTGATGTCACCGTGGTTGTTTAATATATTTATAGATGGGGTTGTAAGAGAAGTAAATGCGAGGGTCTTGACAAGAGGCGTGGAGTTAAAAGATAAAGAATCACACACAAAGTGGGAGTTGTCACAGCTGCTCTTTGCTGATGACACTGTGCTCTTGGGAGATTCTGAAGAGAAGTTGCAGAGATTGGTGGATGAATTTGGTAGGGTGTGCAAAAGAAGAAAATTAAAGGTGAATACAGGAAAGAGTAAGGTTATGAGGATAACAAAAAGATTAGGTGATGAAAGATTGAATATCAGATTGGAGGGAGAGAGTATGGAGGAGGTGAATGTATTCAGATATTTGGGAGTGGACGTGTCAGCGGATGGGTCTATGAAAGATGAGGTGAATCATAGAATTGATGAGGGAAAAAGAGTGAGTGGTGCACTTAGGAGTCTGTGGAGACAAAGAACTTTGTCCTTGGAGGCAAAGAAGGGAATGTATGAGAGTATAGTTTTACCAATGCTCTTATATGGGTGTGAAGCATGGGTGATGAATGTTGCAGCGAGGAGAAGGCTGGAGGCAGTGGAGATGTCATGTCTGAGGGCAATGTGTGGTGTGAATATAATGCAGAGAATTCGTAGTTTGGAAGTTAGGAGGAGGTGCGGGATTACCAAAACTGTTGTCCAGAGGGCTGAGGAAGGGTTGTTGAGGTGGTTCGGACATGTAGAGAGAATGGAGCGAAACAGAATGACTTCAAGAGTGTATCAGTCTGTAGTGGAAGGAAGGCGGGGTAGGGGTCGGCCTAGGAAAGGTTGGAGAGAGGGGGTAAAGGAGGTTTTGTGTGCGAGGGGCTTGGACTTCCAGCAGGTATGCATGAGCGTGTTTGATAGGAGTGAATGGAGACAAATGGTTTTTAATACTTGACGTGCTGTTGGAGTGTGAGCAAAGTAACATTTATGAAGGGGTTCAGGGAAAGAGGCAGGCCGGACTTGAGTCCTGGAGATGGGAAGTACAGTGCCTGCACTCTGAAGGAGGGGTGTTAATGTTGCAGTTTAACTGTAGTGTAAAGCACCCTTCTGGCAAGACAGTGATGGAGTGAATGATGGTGAAAGTTTTTCTTTTTCGGGCCACCCTGCCTTGGTGGGAATCGGCCAGTGTGATAATAAAAAAAAAAAAATCTTCGTCCTTAACCCTTTGACTGTTTTGGTTGTATATATACGTCTTACGAGGTACCGTGTTTGACGTCTATATACTCATAAATTCTAGTGGCTTCAAATCAAGCAGGAGAAAGCTGGTAGGCCCACTTATGAGAAAATAGGTCTGTGTGGTCAGTGTGCACCATATAAAAAAATCCTGGAGCATGCAGTGCATAATGAGAAAAAAAAACTCCGACCGTTTTTTTTTTTTTTTTTTTTTTTTTTAATTAAAATGCCGACTTTGTGGTCTATTTTTGTATAGTATTTATCGTTCTATTCTCGTTTTTTTGGTCTCATTTGATAGAATGGAAAACATATTATAGAAATAGAGGTGATTTTGATTGGTTTTACTATAAAAAAGAATCTGGAAATGGACCTCAAATTAGGGAAAATGTTTGAGTTTTGCCGATGTTCAAAAGTAAACAAATGATGTCATTGTCCAGTAAATGTCCAACTAGCCATTCTAATATGCAGTCATGAATGGGTTGACATTATTTGTACAATTATTACAATATTGCAGTGTCTGCATAACAGTAAATCTTCTAATTTTTTGTTTGAATACAAATTCAATGTAGAAAGCAAGAGTAATATCAGAGGGGCCTGGAGATGTGACTGATGAACAAAGAAAATGTTATTTTAGAGCCAGGAATGTCTGCATTGTTCATTCTGGACCTTATTTTGAAATTGTCATATTTTTTAATTTGCGTGAAATTGGCCAAATTGCAAATTTCTGACCACGTTATTGGGTAGTTGAGATCGGTAAATGGGCAGTTTCTTGTACTCAATTGATAGAAATAGCTAAGAGTTTGGTAGACTGGAACAATGGAATTAGCCGAAAATAGGGCTCAAAGTGGGCGAAATCGCCGATTTGTAAATATCACCGAGGTTGCTAACTTTGCAAGAGTGTAATTCCGCCGGTTTTCCATCAAATTTCGTTTTTTTTTATGTCATTACAATCAGGAAAAGATTCTCTATCATTTCATAAGTAATTTTTTTTTTTTAAATTTTATGATGCCAGGAGACACCTCAGGATTGTGGGTTGTGACAGTCAAGGGGTTAATGTAGTCCATGACAAGAACCCAGTGTTTACCTCTGCAGAATACTTCTTGTAAGGGGGCACTCATTCTAAATTCTCTCCATTTATATTCATATGTGCTTAATAATTAATAAGCCATGACTATTTAAGAGCCTTGATGGTTGCATTTTAGGTACATTATAGTGGTCAAATTTTCATCTATGGTCAGCAGAATGAACTTAATGGTTTTCTCACATTACAGGGCCCCATCCAAGATTTGCATTGGCAATTGATCAAAACTTTTCTCAGCACCCTGTCATACCTGTTCCTCCCAAGAGCACTCTGGAATTTGAGGATGGGATACTCTGGGCAGTACCTAAGCATAGAAGAAGTCGAGAAAGGAGGCTGATAAGAAAGTTTGGGTCAGAGAGTGGTCATAAGAAATTACTGCCAATACTTAAACTTCTGACATGTGATAATTGTGGCAATGTCCATGAGCCTGGTCGATTGTGTCGTAAGTGATGCATCATAATATATTTTGTACTGTGTGTTGCTAGATTAGTATATTTCCTATATTGATTTTGAGGCCTCTTTCTTGTAATATTTTATTCCAATTTGTTTTGCCCTTCTCTCCTCAACACTTGTACCTCTTTTTCTCTACCATCCCTCTCATCTTTGCTGTGCATCACTGAATGACCTACATGGATATATGTAACATTTTCTTTGAATATATATAATACAGTACAGTCTTTAATTCCCCACCACACATGTAGATAGCTGCTCACAGAGGAACAAGTGTGGAATATTGTCTCTGAACTAGTATTTGCTGGTCAGCATAATTTACAGAAAAGGAATTAGGGTAATTACTAATTGTGGCCATCTTTCACCATGGGAAGGTGGGTTAATACACCTTCAAAATATTGCACAGCTTATTGACAAAAAAAATACCCTCTTGTAAAATTTTCTTATTGAGTTATCTTCACAGCTAACTGCTATGCTATGAACAAAGAAGTAACAGAGGCCATGCAAGCAGCCATGAATTCTACTCAAGGGCTCAACCCAATTGAGCATGAAGTCCTGCTAATCTTCAAAGGAGAAAAAGTTAACACAGATGATGGATTTTTTAAGGTGGGTTATATTAATATGCATAGAATGAGTTTAATATTTTTAACAAGGGAACTATTGTATTTGCATATAGTGAGGTCTCCCTAACTTTGTGAGATGCATGGCTGTACCGTGGCATATAAAGCAAAACCAAGTATATCGTGTAAAACATAGGAATTCATTCTGTTTGCCAAAAACTTATGGGCTTATCATACACTTAGCAAATGGTTTTAAACAAAAAGACATGAATTTGGTTCATAAGCAACTGAGATAAAATAAAATCCACAATTTGGTAATAATCCCATTACAACACTAAATCCATAGGGGGATTTTTTTTTTTTTTTTTTTTTTTTAGCCCCCAAAACTGACCATACCAAATGGATACTACATGGTCATTGCCCAAATGCATTATTTTGGGTATAAGTGAAAAAAATGTTAAATTCAAAATTGTCATAATCCTTTCCTTTTACTCCTTCACTGCCAACCAACCTGATGTATGTGCTTCACTCCACTCCAGCCTATCAGTCTGGATTGAAGCACATGCATGAGGAACCTATGTTTACATATTTCCCTACTATATCCTCCCTGTATTCCTAGTCTCAACTTTGTGTCTGCACAACCCAGCTGATTCTAGCTTGGTATTCATTTTCCTTTGACTTGGAACAAGGCACTGAAATTGACAACCAGCTACGGTGGAACCCCAAGTTTCGGCCGCCCTGAGTATCGGCCACTTCAAGTTTCGACCACTTTTTTTTGGCTAAATTTTGTCCAGAGTTTCAGCCTGTGCCCCGTGTTTCAGCCGGCATACCGGACCTGTCTGCCTGCCCGTGCAGGCATCGTGAGCCAGTCTAGCTTTGTTTATCCTCTAGTGAACATTATCCTGCATGTTCATCCAAACATTTCACAAGAAAGTGGAGGAGGAAGAGAGAGGGGAGAATGTGCCTTCTTCAGTGATTGTAAGATATGTATGATACTAAAGCAGCACAAGTCGATAAAGGCTATAGCACCAGCAAACGATAAAGTGTAGCATTAACAGTGTAGCAAGCAAGTTAAGCAATTAATCAACAGAAAAATGACAGCACGAAACTGAGTCCACCAGTGTTGTTGGAGTTATATAGGGTGACTGACAACACCACTGTCTGCTGCCACCATCACCACTATGTAAGGCTTATCTTTCAGTGGCCCTTATACACCCAACAACAAACACAGCAACACTCATTGGTTAAGGAGAGAGATATGACATATTCATTCTAGAGTATTATATCATGTTTCTGTTATTAATGTTGTTTATTATGTCATATTAGATAAATTGTGCTGGATAAATAAGCCATTGAGTTGATATTAGTGTCATATTGGACTATCTTGTCCTGCCTCCAGACAAACACTCTTGCCTCTCTCATATGCCAGCAAGTCTTCAATAAAGGTAAAACTGATTTAAATGTTCATTTATCCATTAAAATTAGTGCTTTATATGTACTATTTCTCATTGTTGTGTGTGTAAAACTATAGCATTTATTCTTTAAAAAATTAATTTTTTGTGAATATTTTTGGGTGGAACAGATTAATTGGATTTACATACATTATTTCTTATGGGTAATATTGCTTCAACTTTAGGCTATTTCGACTTTGGGCCTAGCTCCTGGAATGGATTGCGGCTGAAACTCGGGGTTCCACTGTATATGATTTCACTTAAAATGTGCTCATTGGATTTTCCACTCCAAAATCTGTAAAGTAAAAGGACACAAGTGCAACTAATGTGACATTTTATTGTGGCAACGTTTCTCTCTCCAGGAGAAAAACGTTGCCACAATAAAATGTCACATTAGTTGCATGTGTGTCCTTTTACTCTATATATTGTCGGTAATTCTACGAACATATGTACACTCTAAAATCTGTTATCTTTCTTGTCAGTCTTTTCTATCTGTCAGCCCAGGGGCTAAAAATAAAATCCTTTATGATCCACTAAATTTTGGATAAATTTTTTTTCTGAAATTAGATTATTTTTGTTGGTAATAAGTGAATCGAAATAAAAGTAATACCTACACAATTAAGCTGTCAATTTTGTTGCTTGGTATGGCAACATCAGGTCTGCTGCTTGATACAAAGTAATGTAAATATTGATTTTTCAATGTTTCTAATGCATTCTCTTTTGCTTTTTCACTAATGTTGAGTAAATCTGGCAGTTGTGCACAAAAAATATAGAATGTTTCGTTTATATTTGTTGTATGTAATGTTCTGTTAGATATACAGTGGACCCTTGAGTTTCGTGGGGCCCACGATTCGTGAATTTCGACTTTCAGCAATTTTTTTCGTCAAAATATAGCCTCGCGTTTCGTGATTTGCCTCGCGATTTGTCAGTGGTACGGAACGTGTCCGAGTGGCCTCCCAGCAGCCGTGCGCACACAAAGGCTCCCACACACCATTCAGAGAGTCAGTGTGGCATTGTTTCTGGGCGAGTGACCATCACCCCACACGTTCATACAATACATTTCGTAATAATCCATTCTTTTTGTGCTTGCAACTGCTAAATAAGCCACCATGGGCCCAAAGAAAGCTTCTAGTGCCAGCTCTTAGGTAAAGGTGAGAAACACGATAGAACTAAAGAAAGAAATCACAAAATATGAAAGTGGAGTGCGTGTGGCCGAGCTCAGCAGGATGTAAAGGGAAGCCCCATTCAACAATCACTTCCATCGTGTCGAAGAAAAAAGGAAATAAAGGAAGCTGTTGTTGCAAAAGAGGTAGATTTGCTCACCAAAAAGAGATCACAAATACTCAAAGATGTTGAAAATTTGTTGTTGGTGTGGATCAACCAAGAACAATTAGCAGGAGATAGTGTTATGCAGTCGATAATTTGTGAAAAGGCAAGGCAGTTGCATGCCGATCTCACAAAGAAAATGCCTGGAACGAATGCCTGGGTTAGTGAATTTAAGGCCAGCAAAAACTAGTTTGAGAGATTTAAGAAGTGTAGTGGCATACACAGTGTGGTAAGGCATGGCAAGGCTGCAAGTTCTGACAAATGTGTAGCTGAAAAATTCATGTATGAATTCAAAGTGTACATAGAGGATGAAGGATTCCTTCCCCAACAAGTGTTCAGTTGTGATGAAACGGGGTCTCTTTTGGAAGAAAATGCCAAAAAGGACCTTCATCACACAGGAGGAAAAGGCACTGCCAGGACACAAGCCTATGAAAAACAGGCTAACACTCTTGTTCTGTGGTAATGCTAGTGGGGATTTCAAAGTGAAGCCTTTACTGGTGTATCACTCTGAAAATTCCAGTGTTCAAGAAAAACAGTGTTGCCAAGAGTAAATTGTGTGTGATGTGGAAGGCTAACAGTAAGGAATGGGTCACTAGGTAAATTTTCCTCGATTGGTTCAATGAAGTGTTTGGCCAGAGTGTGAATAAATACCTCCTGGATAATCATTTACCACTCTAGTGCCTCCTGGTAATGCACAATGCTCCTGCTCATCCTCCAGACTTGGATGCCCAAATGGTGGAGGAGTTTAGTTTCATCACAGTGAAGTTCTTGCCCCTAATACCACTCCTCTCATTCAGCCCATGGACCAGCAGGTCATTTTAAACTTCAAAAAACTCTACACCAAAGCAGTGTTTCAGTGGTGCTTTGATGTGACCTCAGACACTGAACTGACTCTAAGAGAGTTCTGGAAAGATCACTTCAATATCCTCACTTGCATAAGCTTTACAGATAAGGCTTGGCAGGGAGTGACCTCCAGGACTTTGAACTCTGCTTGGAGAAAATTGTGGCCAGAATGTGTCCTCGATAAAGATTTTGAAGGGTTTGAGGCTGACCCTGACAACCCTATGCCTATTGTGGATTGTATTGTGTCTTTGGGGAAGTCCATGGGGTTGGATGTGAGTGGCCAGGATGTGGAAGAGTTGGTGGAGGACCACAGTGGAGATCTAACCACTGAAGAGCTGCAAGAGCTTCATCAACAACAGCAACAGACCACAGCTGAGGAAATTGCTTCACAGAAGGAAAAGAGATGGAAGGAGGTGCCTTCTTCAGAGATTAAGGAGATTTGTGCGATGTGGAGTAGGGTGCAAACATTTGTGGAGGAACATCACCCTAGCAAAGCTGTTGCAAGCCATGTCGGCAACATGTACATTGACAATGCCTTATCCCATTTTAGGCAAATTTTAAAGAGACGCCAGAAACAGAGCTGTCTGGAATAATTTTTTGAGCGACAGGGGTCCAGTGACTCTCAAGCTGGTCCTAGTGGCATTAACCCTTTCAGGGTCCAGAGGCCAAATTTCAAAGTGTGCACCAGGGTCCAAGAATTTTCAAAAAATAATTGTTATTTTTTCTTATGAAATGGTAGAGAATCTTTTTCTGAAGGTAATAAAACAAAAAGTACGAAATTTGATGGAAAATTGACGAAACTGTGTGCTCGTGAATTTTGACGTGTCGAGATATTTACGCATCGGCGATTTTGCAGACTTTGACTCCAATTTTAGGCCAATTACATTATCCCAGTCGACCAAATTCTTAGCTATTTCACTAGTATTACTTCTATTCTATCGATTGAGCACAAGAAATTGCCAAGTCAACTGTTTCAACTACAAAATAAAGTGATCGGAAATTGGTAATTTGGCCAATTTAATGCAAAGTTCAAAATATTCCAATTTCAAAATAGGGTCTAGAATAAACAATGCAGGCATTCTTGGCACTAAAGTAACATTTCCTCTGTTCATTAGTTATGTTTTCAGGCTTTACAAATGAATTACATTTTGATTTTTTATTCACATAATAAATTTTTATTCAAACCAAAAAAATAGAAGATTTACTGTTATGCAATATTGTAATAATTGTATAAATAATATCGCCACATTTGTGAATGTATATTAGACCCACCAGCTGGCGTGTATTAGACGTGTGAGGTCATTTGTTTACTCTTGAACATCGGCAAAAATTTAACATTTCTGCTACTTTGAGCTCAGTTTCAAGTCATTTTCAGTACTAAAACCACTCAAAATCATCTCTATTTCTGTAATATATCTTCCATTTTATCAAATGAGACCAAGAAATCGCAAATACAACAATAAAAAAAACATAAGAAAATACACTGCAAAATCACTGTTTTAATCGAAAATTAGTCTGGTTTTTTTTTTTCTCTCTCATTATGCACTGTATGCTACAGGATTTATTTTATGTGGTGCACACATACCACATAGATGTATTCTCTTATATCTAGGCCCAAATTTACCGCTCACAGCTTATCAGAGTGAGCTGAGCTCATGGCGTTGATCTACGGTTTGGAACCTCAACGTAAAGCCGTAGGTCTACGGGACGAACCCTGAAATGGTTAAAAGACAAAGGGAAGTAACCCCAGATAAGGACTTGGAACCTAAAGTCTTTATGGAAGGGGATTCCCTTTCCAAACAATAGTGTTAACTTCTCCATCCTCTCCCCTCCTCCCGTGTTCCATGCACCAACAAGAGTCTTCAATAAAGGTAAGTGTGATGTTGTTATTGTTTTATACTTGATTTCTCGTTCTTTTCTGTATGTAAATCTATATTTATTCTGTAAAAAAAAATAATTTTTGTTAATACTTTTGGGTGTCTGGAACGGATTAATTGGATTTACATTATTTCTTAGGGGGAAAATGGTTTCGAAATTCGTGAATTTCGACTTTCGGCAGACTGTCTGGAACGGATTAATCATGAAACTCTGGGGTCCACTGTGTCCTTGCTTTCTTTCATGCCCCAATGGAATCCTGTAGAAATAATTTGCTACCTTTTTTTTTTTTTGGGGGGGGGGGGTCATCCTAGGTAATTTACACATTGCAATGCAAGTCCATTTCTGTGTAAATGTACCTAAATAAACTTCTGCCTGGGAGGGCCACGAGCCCCAGAGGTGGATGGTTTGGAGTCATCAAAGTTTTCATCACTTATATGCCCTGTTCTGGTGTCACTATTGGCCACTTCCTTCTCAACACTAAAAATATCTTCAGTGGTATCACTATCCTCAGTGTTTGTCATTTTTATGGAATAAAAGGATATCAGTTTTCTTTGGAGTGAGTGTAGCACATTGGCATTTCATTCAGAGCAACATGTAATTATCACAATACACTTGGCAAGCTGGGATTTTATCTCAGTAGTGAACACCTACTGTACACACCAATTATTCGTTGCGTAGGCTGCTTGTGCTGAATATGAAGACGGTGTGCAGAACACATCACTGACACTGTAAGGGTTAAAATGTGAAGAAACTGGAGATGATGTTGATAAATAGTACAGTGCTGTATTTGGTATATTGCTTATCACTGCAGGAGTCTCGTGTACAGCACTGGTAGTTTCCATCACCCTATGAAGTTGGAACTTTGTTAGTGGCAGTGTTCTGTTGCCTAACCTAAGTTCCTAATACAGTGAGTGCAGCCCCAGTGTTGAACAGTTCCACTTATAAACTGTTGAATGATGAAAGCTTTTTTTCTTTTTGGGTCACCCTTCCTCTGTGGGAAACGGCCGGCATGTTAAAAAAAAAATTTCACATGTACTCGGCCATAGCTTTCTGAAACACATTTATAATGTCATATTTTATTGTTTTATAAATGTATAGGTATTATTATTACAATCATAACGAAATGCTAAGCCCACAAGGGTCATACAGCGCTACACGGCAGGATGTGCTAAAAATGAAATGTGCAAAGATCAGAAATTAGTGAGGGTTAGGAGTATGCAAGAGGTAATTGGTAAGGGTAGTCCTAAAGGGAAAATATAATCAAAGTTGGTATAATAAAGCAGTTGCTGACAAAGTCAGAGGGAGTCTGTGTCAAAGGTGGAGGTGCACAGGTAATTAATTTTTTATTGTAATTACCTGTTTGTAGCTACAGGAGCAGACCTATGCTCTGCCTTCATTAATTTGTTCGTGTAATTTTTTTTTTAAATTACCTTAAATTACTTACCCTTTCAATTTATTTTGTTCTACCATTTTTGTAAAGAAAAATTCCCAGTATCACTTTGGTTGCATTTTTTAAATTTGTGTGTCTTGTTCTTTTCTTTAAAGTACTAAAAACTTCATGAATTCTTTCATATCCTTTTGTATCCTTGTACTGTATGTTATATTTCCTCTTTACTTATCAACTAGCAGGGTATCTTTAGTGTTTTCAGTTTTTCACCATTACTCATATTTTTAGCTCTGGGATTTATTTTGTAGCTGTTTTGACTTTTTCTATTTGATCCTCTTTTGCTTTTTAGATGTAGACACCACACAACAGTTGCATATTCCAATTTTGGCCTAATATATTGTAAACAGTTTTTTTTTTTATTTCAGTATCTTGCCATCCCTCTTTAAACCTTTCACTGTCTGAACCCACGAAATCAGTATTGCTCCTATTATCCACCTTTCTTATTCTGAAATGATAGAGAATATTTCTGAAGATAATGATGCCAAAAGTAGGAAATTTGATAGAAAAGATATGGAATTCTGCAAACAGTTAGTAGTCTGATCACAGTTTATGCATTGGCGATTTCACCCACTTTGAATGCAATTTAAAGTAGATTCCATTGCTCCTTTCGACCAAATTCATAACTGTTTTGCTAGTATGCCCTCTTTTTTATCGATTGAGCACAAGCCACCCACCCACTCAACTAATACAACTGCACTATAAAGTGCACAGAAGTCAGTAATCTGGCCAGTTTTACACAAAATTTCAAATACACCAGTTTATAATTTTTTTTTTTTTTTCAACAAGTTGGCTGTTTCCCACCTAGGCAGGGTGACCCAAAAAGAAAGAAAAAATCCCCAAAACGAAAATACTTTCATCATTCAACACTTTCACCTCGCTCATACATAATCACTGTTTTTGCAGAGGTGCCCAGATACAACAGTTTAGAAGCATATATAAAGATACAATATAAAAAGTGACCTGAAATAATATAATAAACTCCCTATAGAATATAAGATCAGGGCCCCAATTATATATATACTGTCATATTACACATCCCTCCAAACTGCCAATATCCCAAACCCCTCCTTTAAAGTACAGGCATTGTGCTTCCCATTTCCAGAGCTCAAGTCCAGCTATATAAAAATAACCGGTTTCCCTGAATCGCTTTACTAAATATTACCCTGCTCACACTCCAACAGCTCATCAAATAAACAATATAGACATTCCTGAGACTGAAACATTTCTTCTGTTAATCACATCCCCTGGACTACCCTATATTACACTTGCCTTCCATTTTGAATTCATAATCACACAAAAATAGAAAATTTACTGTTTCCTGGATAATAAAATATAACCAGGAATGGTGTCCCAGTAATTGAATCAGACCTATTAAAAGCCTGTACAACAGACCAGGAGTGTAGAGTGGCCTTACCAGTCCTCAGGAAAATTTGCAAAAATTGAATATTTCTGCTACTTTGAGCCCAATTTAAAGCTATGCTCATTATTGAAACCAACCAAAATCATCTGTGAAAACAGCAAATGCTCTAAGATAAGCTAGAGGAGGAAAAGTCCCATTACAGTACAGCATTTATTATATGGTGGTTCAAAGGCTTCTTTCCCAGCAAAGTGCATTCATGCAACAAAGCACCCTCAGACCTTGTAATGCAGGACAGTTACGTACTTGCTTATCTGTGGACATTTTAAGTAGACACCAGTTTGCTACAACAACTGTGATTCCCTCTTCTTTCTGCCAGTGTCCTTTCCTCAATACTCACTTCTTCTATTTGGGGCTGAATGATTCTTTTCAGGAGTATAATAATCCATGGCCCAGAAATATTGATTTCAACATTCTTTACAGGGAAAGCAGATTGTTGAGGTTCCAAGGGAGTGTCCACAATGGTTCTCTCGCAGACTAACCAAGAAGTCTAATATCACTACTACTACTGACACTACAATAGCCAAGCCAACAAATTTAGCATGAATGATTCACTGTATTTTACAATTTGTTTTTCTGGATTGATTATGTATTATTTAGAATCTCTGAATATAAAATTTCTCCCATATAAGTATCGATTCAGTAATGTTAGCAATAATTTGTTTGTTTTCCAGAAAACTTTCAAACTATCATATTATTACATTTGTAGAATTAACACTTAACCTGTAGCAATCATACAACTTCTGGGTGGGTAGAAAGGGAAAGGAGGAATGGGAGACAATCTGCCTTGATCCAGAGGAGGAGAGGTAAAGTTCATTTCCTTTGAGCCCTTCACCAGCATCAAAGAATGTTCCTTGAAGAGGTGGTGTGGGGGGGGGGTGAGGTATGATAAGTATATTTCTTTTGTATATCTTAACACTTTTTAAGAACCTTAGGCTATATGGCCCTTGTGGGTTTAGCACTTATTTCTGATTGTAATAATAATTAAGAACCTTGGTTTATCTCGTAAGTTATCCATAAAACAGGATACTAACATCCAGCAGTGATTCAGATACATACAGTGGACCCTTGACCAATGACATTAATCCGTTCCAGGGAGCTAGCCGCTAGTCGAATTTGCCGTTGGTCGAATTAATTTTCTCCATAAGAAATAGTGGAAATCCAGTTAATCCGTTCCAGACAGGCAAAAGTAGAAAAAAATTATTTTTTTAATTCATGAAATATACATTTCCGCACACAGAAAACAATTAGACATGCACAATACATACATAAATAAATACTAAAATGACACTTACCTTTACTGAAGAGTATTGTTGGATGATGAGACTGTTTTTCTTGAACACACTGGGATTTTCAGTGATATATGAGTAAAGGCTTCACTTTGTAATCCCCATTAGCATTAAAACAAAACAAGAAAGTTGGCCTGTCTTTCATAGGCTTGTGTCCTGGGAGTGCCTTTTCCTTCTGAGTAATGTAGGTCCTGTTTGGCATTTTCTTCCGGAACAGGCCTGTTTCATCACAGTTGAACACTTGTTGGGGTTGGAATTTTTCAGCTTGGCCAGGCCTTATCGCACTGTGTATGCCAGTACGATTTTTAAATCTCTCAAACCAACCTTTGCTGGCCTTAAATTCACCAATATGAGCACTTGTTCCAGGCATTTTTTCCTGTTCACCTGGGTGTTTAGTCGACTGGTGTGGATTGCATCCTGGGGGACAAGATTAAGGACCCCAAAGGAAATAAGTTACAGTCCTCGATGACACACTGACTTTCTTGGGTTATCCTGGGTGGCTAACCCTCTGGGGTTAATTGTTTCTCAGTATTCTCGATTAGCCACACCAACATCAGTCTCTCCACATCTTCGAGTAGTACAGCTGACCGTGGCGCAGGAGCAGCTGATGGTGTTGCAGCAACAGCTGACGGTAGTGCAGCAGCAGCTGACCGTGGTACGATAGTATATTTCGAGAGTGTTTCTCACCCTTTTTAGCACTAGAAGCTTTCTTGGGGCTCACGGTGGCTTGTTTAGCAGTTGCAAGCACTAAAAACACTGGAATAATACGAAATATATCGCAGGTACACTTGGAATCGACCGCAACGGGTTGTAAACATTGGCACACTGGCTATACACAGTCTTGGAGTGGCTGGGCCCGCTCAGGCCGCATGCCGTTAGACGAGTTTTTCGTCGTTGGTAGAGCCAATTTTTTGACGCCAAAGAGCGCCGTTAAACGAATTTGCCATTACTTGATGCCACCGTGGGGCGGGGGTCCACTGTACTTAAGATGCAGCCAGGTCCTCTCGAGAGGTTCAACAAGACTTGAGCCACTTTTTGATTTTTATAAAGTACAGTTTAAAATATGTTTAGCACATGTTTTTGATATACACAACAGTAATTGCCTCACTTGTCTATTTTTAATAGGCTTTCATTTGTTAAGATGTATCTCTTTTATAAAGCTATACTTTACATGCAAAGTGGTAACTACATACAGTTACTGGGTATTAGTTTTTTCAGTTTGTGTTGTATCCTATTATATTCTGTTCCTCTGAAGATGTGTATAAGCACATGAAATCTTTCTAGTTTTATTTTCTATTTTCACTGGTATTTTTTCATATTTGTAATCTGGCATTTTATTATGATGTCTTACATATTCACACACATTTTTGCTAAGCCAAAATAATAAAAGTTATGGAAGTCTACAAATATTCTTTCTTTACTTCTTTTTGTTCACTTAAGGTGTTATGGGGTTTTGTATTGTCTATATTAAGTAATGCAAATAAAAATTTGGTGCATTTGTACAAAAATGATTTTAATTCCAAAAGACTTAAACTTTACTTTTGGTTTTGCTGGTGTGGGGCTCCGTTTAAGAAATTGGGCTTGGGCTTGTCCTTCCCTTCCTTGGATTGAACTCGATTGCCTCCCATTTCCTAGGCATTATGACCCCAAAGGTTTAGTACTTCCTAATAGGTGCAGTAATTTATTATTAGTTATTATTTATTACTATTATATGCTGGAGCTTTCCCACTGAACTAGGGTGAGCCAAAAGAGGACATATTCACAGAAGTTTTCCAGAGTACTTTATGGATAGTGTACATTTTTAGTAGTAATGTAGGCCAATTATGAAGAAAAATTTTATATTTTGAATATTGAATACATTTTCTTCTAACATTCAGCTTTTTATTGAGAATATCTTTAAGCAAAAATTATCTTTAGTTTAGGAATTTACAGATCTTGTGTAACATTTATCAGTTATACTATGACCTTGATTCTCCTTTACAGCTGTCTGATGAGATTCCCCTCAAGAGAAGTGCCTTGATGCTGGTGAGAGGCTTTGGATCAATGGAATTAGATCTTACCTATCCTTGGATCAAGCCTAATTGCCTCCTTCCCTCAGGCATTGTTACTCCTTTGGGTTTAGTGCTATCTCTATGAATATAATAATGTGCATTGTCACTGGAGACAATACTCTGCCAGACATGGCACATTAATTAATTTGCTCCCTTATTATAGGGAAGCACTAAACCCTCAGGGGTGATAGCCTGAGGAATAGGATGAAATTAAGTTTGATGCAAGGGGAAGAAAAGGTCTAGTTCCTTGGATCAAGAGTCCCTCGTTGGCATCAAGGTACCTCCCATAAAAGTATAACGTATTATGTTCATGGAGAGGGGGAGGGAGGTTCAACTTATAAGTCGTACAATGAGTGGGAGAATGGGATGTATTCAGGTTTGATCCAAAGAAGGGGAGGGAAAGTCCAGTTCCTTGAATGTAGAGCCTGTCACCAGTATCCTCTTCAAGGGGGGGCTCCTTGGCACGGTGAAGAGGCTCTTCGTCTGAGGAATTAGACCTTTTGGTCTCCTTCCTCAGACCAAACCTAATTACCTCCCTTTTCTCCTCCTCTTCCCATCCCTCTCCTATCCCCTCTGGGATTCTTCCCGCAAGCACTCTAGTTCCTAGGTAGGGGGAAGGGTACTGTGGTCCATCCCATTCCATTGAGGTCTGTGGTGGTGTAGCTTGCTGTGGAATCTGGATCACCTGGGGATGTCCCACTCCCTCTCCGGTCTCCCAGGGAGTGGCTTTGGGTGTCTTTTGGGTGTATCTCTGGAAGCTGCCTTTTGGATTCCAGGGGGTGGTAACTGAAGGAGGTATGCTTTGTGGCAGGTATCCGGCCGCCCTCTTTTGTCCACCGAGAAAGCTCGGTAGATGTGAAGTTGCTATCCCAGATTGCTGGTTTATTGGCATGAACGGTAGGGTATGGCACGGGTTTCATGCCGCATTTGCACTACTTGCAGTGCTGGGGTCCTCTTGGGTGCGGAGGGGGATTTACGGTTATTTCATTCCTCCTAGGAGCTATTCTTCCATGTTCCCCTGCTTTTCTTTTTTCTAAAAAAACAAAGAAAGAAGTGACAACCATGGAGTCCCAAGTCCATGAAGCAGCTCCCCCTGGGCCCCTTTCTGCTACTGCACCTTGTTTCAACCCTACCTCGTTATTTGACCATTCTTCAGATATTTCTCATGCCCCTGTACCTCCTGCTGGTGCCTTTTCTTTACCCACTCCAGGTACCGGGGTTCTGCCTGACTCCTTTGATACATCTGACCTCCACACTTCTTTGACCATGCTTCTGGCTTCTCCCCCTACAGTACAGTGCTTTTCAGATCGCTAACCCATCCAACAATAGACCAACTTCGGTCCCACACCTAAACGTCCAAGACTATTACCTGATGATACTCCTTTGTTTTCTTCTCATTCTGCCCAGAAAAGACCTGCACAACACTCCCTCTTCTTACATGCAGTGTGTCAATATACACAATGGACTTTAGTTTTTTACTCTGCAACCAACTCCTCAGTTCATAGTATTGGCAAGGTGCTCCCACGCCATGTTGGTAGAGATATATCCTTTCATGCTCTCGAGCAGTGCATGCATCGTCACGGTATAGAATGCTAGCCAAGCTTGCGATCTTTCTCTCATTACAACCATTGATGCTGTTCCTGTAATTGTTGAAAAACATCATTCTCTCAATTCTTGTAGTGGTACTGTCATTCTACCTCTTACCATTGTTCAACAGAATTTCCAGACTTGTAGTGATGACATTCTGGAACAGCTTGAGCTCCAAGACCTCTCAATCCTCAAAGTAGGCACTTATGTCCTCCCTGCCCACGGGAAGAGACAAGACCCTTGCAATGTAGCTTGCTTAATTTTTGACTGCCATGAGGTTCCATCCTCAGTTTATATTGCAGGACACCGTTTACAAGTTAAAAGTGATCACTACACCGCAACAGTGTAGAAATTGCTGCCGTTTTGGCCATCCAGCAAAATATTGCAGGTCCATGGCCGAATGCCCAGTCTGTGGAGCCGACAACCATACCAATACATCTTGTAGTCTACCTCCCTCTTAGTTTAATTGTCATGAGGCTCTCCTATCTTACTCTTGCCATTGCCAGACTATTTTGCTGTTATTGCTCCCCACCTTTGCACCTGTTGGCAACAACCTCTTCAAGGGGGGCTCCTTGGCGTGGTGAAGAGGCTCTTGGTCTGAGGAATTAGACCTATCGGTCTCCTTCCTCAGACCGAACCTAATTACCCCCCAATCCCCCCTTCCCTATCCCATCCTCCCCTTTTTCCTTTCCTCCTCCTCCCCACCCCTCCCTTTTGCCCTTCCTTTTTTGGCCTTCGGGATTTTTCCCACAGGCATGCTAGCTCCTGAGTAGGGGAAAGGGTACCAGGGTCCATCCCATTCCGTTGAGGTTCTTGGCGGTGGCGTAGTTTGCCGTGGAATCTGGATAGCCTGGGGATGTCCCGATCTCTCTCCGGTATCCCGGAGGGTGGCTTTGGGTGTCTTTCGGGCGACGGGTGTATCTCTGGAAGCCACCTTTCGGATTCCGGGGGTGGTGGCCAAAGGAAATATGCTTTGTGGCGGATATCCGGCTGCCCTCTCTTTTGTCCACCGAGGTAGCTATCCCGGATTGCTGGTTTACTGGCATGATGGGTAGGGTATGGCACGGGTTCCATGCTGCATCTGCGCTACTTGTGGTGCTGAGGTCCTCTTGGGCGCAGAGGGAGATTTCTGGCCCTTTCATTCCTCCTAGGAACTATCCCTCCCCGGTCCCCCCTTTTTTTATTCTTTTTTTATTTTTATTTTATTTTCTCTTTTTTTTTTTCTTAAAAACAAAAAGAAAGAAGTAACCTAACCATGGAGTACCCGATCCATGACCCCGCTACCCCCGGGCCCCTTATTGTTACCGCACCCTGTTCTGACCTCGCCTCGTCTTTTGGCCACTCTTCGGACATTCCTAAGGCCCCTGTACCTCTTGCTGGTGCTGTTTCCTCACCCGCTTCAGGTACCAGGGCTTCCACTGACTCCTTCGATTTGTCTGACCTCCGCTCTCCTTTGACTGTGCTTCCGGCTTCTCCCTCTACGGTGCAGCGATTTTCGAATCGCCAGCCCGTCCCACGTCGGACCGACTCTGGTCCCACTTCTAAACGTCAACAATCTAGTAATGATGTTACTTCATTACCTTCCCTTACTACTCGGAAAAGACCGACACGTCATGCACTCCCTCTCCACACTGTTTCAGACCACACAATGGACTAAATTCTTTACATTAAGACCGACTTCTTCTACTGCCTATCTTTCCGACCATAGTATTGGCAAAGCGCTCTTACGCCACGTTGGTAGAGATATTTTCTTTCATGCTCTTAAGAGTGGTACGTGCATCATCACAGTCCAGAATTCTACTCAAGCTCATGATCCTTCTCTTCTTTCACATATCGATACTATTCCTATCACTATTGAAAAACATCATTCTCTCAATTCTTGTAGTGGTACTGTTATTCTGCCCCATACCATAGTCCAACAGAATTTCCAGACATGTGGCACTGACATTCTCGAACAGCTGGAACTCCAAGATCTCCCAATTCTCAAGGTAGACACTTATGTTCTTCCTGCCCGCGGGCGAAGACGATACCCTTGCAATGTGGCTCGTTTAACTTTTCACAGCCGTGAACTCCCATCCTCTGTTTATGTAGCAGGACATCGGTTACAAGTTCGGAAGGTGATCCCTACACCGCAACAGTGTAGGAATTGCTGGCGATTTGGCCACCCAGCAAAATATTGCAGATCTATAGCCGAATGCCCAGTCTGTGGTGCCGATGACCATTCTAATACGTCTTGCAGTCGAACTCCCTCTTGCCTCAATTGTCATGAGGCTCACCCTTCGTACTCTCGCCGTTGCCAAGTCTACTTAAATGAGCGGGAAATTTGTTGCCTCAAAGAGGCAGAAGGTCTCCCTTATGCTATGGCGGTTTCTCATCTCCGCTTCCAGGGGAGACTGCCCCGTGTTTCTTATTCTCGTGTTTCAAAGCGTCCCCCCACTTCTGGGGTCACATCTTCTGCAGCCTCCTCTGCGGTTGCCAGTCCCATAGTCACTCCTGTATCTAATTCTTTTGCTGTCCTGGGCTCAGACGTCCCTACTTCAACTCCTCAGTCTGTCCTCACTTCTTCGTGTCCTCCCTCACAAACCCCGGTATCGACAAGACCTCGTACGACACCTCCTCCCAATCGTCTACTTCTCAGAGGCCCCAAAAATTTCCTTTAACCCCTCCTTCCCTTCGTCCACCTCCACATTTTACCTTCCCGGTCTCTGTACCTGAGTCTTCCCGTTTCACTGGCTCTGTTACAAGTGTGGGGGTTCATCCTCCTCCTCGTACTGTGCCTTCCTCCCCTGTCCCCTCCCATGTTTCTTCCTCTTCTGCCACCTCCCAGTTTTCTGCCTCTTCTGTCCCCTCCCACACTTCTCCAGTTTCCTCCACCCTTTCGCCCCTCCCCCCTACCTTGGTACAGTCCATTACAGCTCCAATCTTCACTCAAACTCCTCCTCCTTCCATCTCCAATATTGTCTCCCAAACACTTGAAGCAATCTCTGAATATATTGCAGAGACCAAACCATCAATGGACACTGATCCACTCTCTGTTCCTTCTCTTTCCTCTACTCCATCTGCGTAACTCCTTTCTTCACAACGCACCGTTCCTTCGCTACTTAAACGTTTTCCTTTGCCACTGCATGTGGACTTTTCTAACCCCTCTAGTCCGTAGGTACCCTTACCTGCGGATTTCAGGTATCTTTATCGTTGCCAATCATGGCCTATTTACAGTGGAATATTCGCGGCCTCAGGGGTAATTGGGGTGAGCTTCAGATGTTGCTCTCCCAGTTTTCCCCTGTTGGTGTTTGCTTACAGGAACCAAAATTACACTCTGCCGTTATCTATCCTATCTCAGGCTATAATTTATTGTATTCTTCAGATCCTCTTCCTGCTGGGACCTTTAATGAAAGTGCCCTTCTACGCACTGATATTCCATACCATCAGCTATTTGTTCATACTTCGCTGCATTACACAGCAGCCCGTATCCACTTGCATAGGTGGTATACACACTGTTCTTTGTATCTCTCTCCTTCTCGGGTATTATCTATCCCAGATATTGCCTTTCTTGTTTTGTCATTACCGCCACCACTTCTGTTACTTGGCAATTTTAATGCCCATCATTTCCCCTGGGGGGGGTCTCACTGTGATTCCCGTGGCATTCAGTTAGAGGCTTTTCTTGCTACCCACCCCCTCCATGTTTTAAATACAGGTACTCACACCCATTTTGATCCTTGGACTCGTACTCTCTCTTGCATCGATCTCTCAAGTCTGCTCTTCCTCCGCCGCATTAGACTTCACCTGGTCTATTCTCCCGGATTTACATCACAGCGATCATTTCCCAATCATTCTTACTTCCCCTTCATATTCACCACCTCTTCATAACCCATGCTGGCAATTTGATCAGGCAAATTGGAACCTTTACTCACAACTAACTGTTTTTAGTGAGGTTCCTTCTTCGTCCTCCATTGATGAGCTTTTACACCTCTTCTCGTCCTCCGTTTCAACCGCAGCTTCTCATTCTCTATCCCAAACTTCGGGCAGGCATTCTCAGAAATGCGTGCCTTGGTGGTCTCCTGCTTGTGCTCGTGCAGTACGTTTGAAACGCGCTGCGTGGGGCAGGTACCGGTACAATAGAACCAAGGAGAGACTTCTTGATTTTAAGCAAAAGCGTGCTATCGCTCGCTGTGTCATCCGTGACGCTAAACGCACTTGCTGGCGAGATTATGTCTCCACCATCACCTCTGCTTCCTCTATGAGTGCAGTCTGGAAAAAAGTACGAAAACTGAGTGGTAAATATTCTCCTGACCCGGCTCCTGTTCTGCGGGTTGCCGGTGTTGATATAGCAAACCCACTAGATGTTGCCAATGAAATTGGCAATCATCTGGTCCGTATTTCTCAGGGGCTCCATCTATGCCCCTCGTTTCTTTCCTCAAAGTCTGCCAGAGAGTTAGCACCCTTGGACTTTTCTTCTCTCAGAGAAGAACAGTATAATGTGCCTTTTACACTTCAGGAACTGGAGGCAACACACTCAGCTTGCCGATCATCGGCAGCTGGACCCGACAACGTTCATATTCGTATGCTACAACATTTACATCAGTCAGCCCTTGCAGTCCTATTACGCCTTTTCAATCTTATTTGGTCACGGAGTTCTTCCACAACTGTGGAAATCTGCCATTGTTCTCCCTTTCTGCAAACCAGGTACTACAGGACATGAAGCCTCCCACTATCGTCCCATTGCTCTTACCAGTGCAGTTTGCAAAGTGATGGAACGCCTGGTAAATAGACGTTTAGTGTGGTATTTAGAGACACACAGCAGTCTCTCCACTCGTCAATATGGCTTTCGTAAAGGCTGTTCTACCATAGACCCCTTACTATGCTTGGATACATATGTTCATAATGCCTTTGCGAATAACCACCGTGTTATTGCCATATTTTTTGACCTTGAGAAGGCATATGACACAACTTGGAGGTATAATATTTTGGCCCAAGCCCACTCCTTAGGCCTTTGAGGCAATCTACCATCCTTCCTTAAGAACTTTTTAACTGACAGACATTTCCGTGTTTGGGTTAATAATGTGCTCTCCCCGGACTTTATCCAAGCTGAAGGTGTCCCCCAGGGATGTGTTCTGAGCACAACACTTTTTCTCCATGCTATAAATGATTTGGCCTCTAGTCTTCCATCCAATACAGTGGACCCCCGCATAACGATTACCTCCGAATGCGACCAATTATGTAAGTGTATTTATGTAAGTGCGTTTGTACGTGTATGTTTGGGGGTCTGAAATGGACTAATCTACTTCATAATATTCCTTATGGGAACAAATTCGGTCAGTACTGGCACCTGAACATACTTCTGGAGTGAAAAAATATCGTTAACCGGGGGTCCACTGTATTTGGTCATCACTCTTATGTTGATGACTTCGCTATTGCATGTGCAGGCGCTGACTGTCACCTCATTACAGTTTCTCTCCAACATGTGGTTGACCGTGTTTCCAATTGGGCCACCACACATGGGTTTAAATTTTCCAGTACCAAAACTCGCCAAATTACTTCCACTAGACGCTCTGTCATCTCTGATCATCCTTTGTACCTCTATGGCTCCCGTATCCCTGAACGTGATAGTCAGGTTTCTAGGCCTCCTCTTTGACCGTAGGTTATCCTGGAAACTTCACATTACCTCTCTGAAGGCAACATGTCACAGCCGGCTGAACCTTCTTAAAACCCTTGCTCATCTTTCATGGGGAGCGGATCGTCGAACTCTACTTCGCCTACATTCCGCCCTCATTTTATCGAAACATGATTATGGTGACCAGATCTATTCAGCGGCCTCTCCTGCTACTCTCTCTAGCCTTAACCCCATTCATCACCAAGGATTACGTTTATGCCTTGGTGCTTTTCGCTCTTCCCGTTGAGAGCCTCTATGCAGAAGCGAACGTTCCATCCTTATCCGATCGCCGTGATGCCCATTGCCTTCAATACTATGTACGCTCTTATGATCTCCGCAGTCCTTCCTCAGAATGGTCACCGATATTAGTAGACATTATTTATTCGCTGCCCCAGTTTGCTCCATCCCTTTTCTCTTCGCCTACATTCGCTCTTGTCTTCTTTTCAATTACCACCTCTATGTTCATATAGCATCTCCCTTTTCCCTATCCCCCTGGGAAGTTCCAGCTGTTCGAGTCTGTTCTTTCTCACTCCCTTGCTCGAAAGCCCAACTGTCTACGGTAGCTTCCCGCTCTCTTTTTCTTGGCCACTTCCACTCTCATTCTCATGCCATTGCAGTGTACACAGATGGCTCTAAGTCTTCTGATGGCGTAGGATTCGCAGCAGTGTTTCTGGACAGTGTCATACGAGGGCATTTACTATCTTTGGCTAGTATCTTTACTGCTGAATTGTATGCCATTCTTGTAGCACTTATCCGTATTGCATCTATGCCTGTGTCATCCCCCTTCTACCGCCCAATACTCTCGCGTCCTTCCCTACCCTGCAGCGCTGCATAGCCCTTGTGGCTTAGCGTTTCTTTTTGATTATAATAATAATGTTGGCAACAACTTTGGTATGATCTGCTCCTTAACAAACTTCATTCTATTAAACCAAGTCTAGGTTATTGGCCATCTTGTCATCAGTGTTGAGGTTAGGAGACTACTTTCTCCCGTCTTCGCATTGGCCACACTCGTCTTACTCACGGGTATCTCATGGAGAGGTGCCCTGTTCCTCTCTGAGAATTGTCAAGTTCCAGTATCTGTTAGACTGCCCACTCTATCAACGGGCACGCAGAATTTACCTCCGTCGTCGTCTCCGCTCTACTGCTCTCTGGCGGACCTTCCTTTAATCCAGACTCTCTCATTGACTTTAACTGATTTACTCCACAAACTCTGATGATGCCTTTAGCACTCCCCACAGCCCTTTCTACCTCAATCTCTTGCTACCCTCTACCCCTGCACCTGTCCTCCATAACCTGCTAATCATACCTCTCCCTTTTGCCACCAGATACTCTCGCTTCCTTCCCTGCCCTGCAGCACTATATGGCCCTTGTGGTTTAGTGCTTCTTTTTGATGATAATTTCCCTCTTGCTACCCAATACCCCTGCACCCTTCCCTGCCCTGTCAGACCCTTGTAGGTTTAGCACTTTTTGATGATAATGTTGCAGGTTTGTCATCAGAACAGAAGTACTGGTGATTAGAATAGATTAAAGAGCAAGAGTATGGTTCAGTAAACTTTTATTCAAAATTTCTGTTAATTGCAATGGATGCAATTTCTAAAATCAAAATGTTAGCCCTGAAAACAATTCATATATTCTGCAATATGGTTTTTTTTTTTAAACATTCTAAATAAACAGTGGTAATTAAATACAGTAATTGTATAAAAATAATTGCATATTTTTTTTTTATATATAATTAAGGAATTGGTTTGGTTGGTCCACAAAGGCATTATTACAAGATCAGTAAATGGAGTATTTTCTGTTCCTCTAAGTCTTCAACGTGACCACACTAACTGCACTGATACTTCTTCCACTTCACTATGAAATCCACAACATTCGTTTTTAGCTTGTCATTCTTTCCTTCTAGACAACCCACTGACAGTTCTGCACATACAGTTTAGTTACTGTCCATTACATCCCAACCATCATGAAAGTATCTCCAAAAACTTGCAATATGAAGATAGTATCAATTATATTTGGGAATGCTACAAATTTTCCAACTCTGATTATAGGAATAAAAAGGGTTATATGCAGTAGTGAAAACTTAAGATTCAAAACCAACAATTTGGAGATGAAACTTTAGACACTTCGGTCTATCCTAAATGACTATCAAGTCGCGTCTTGGACATTTGTCCAAGACACTAAACATTGTCTAGTTTCATATCAAAATTCTGAGTGTTGTAGTTAATTGCTCCAATCAAGGAATTGTGACTTAATTTTACTTAGAAGGAATTCCAGAATTCTTTTTATCACACACCACAATTATCTGTAAATTTAATCTTAACTAATGCATTGAGCAACTCAAGAATGACTTACATTTCACACAAATAAATCCATTCAAGGGCAATGTAAATGACAGAACTATTATGTACACATGAACCAAATAAATACAATTACACGATTTTCAGGGAAAATATAAAGGAGTGATGAATGGTAGGCTAAGGTGTTGACAAATTATAATTTTAAATCCTCAATGATTTGCAGATTGAAAGATGCAATTATTTATGCAGTAATTACCTTCCAAAAGTATTTACAACATCGATGTCTAAACATTGTGATATGCCACAAATTTATTTTGATGAATACATTATTAAAAATTTATCACAGTATTTTACATTCATACTGATTTCCTCAAGTATGTTTTGTAAAATACTTGAGAAATACTAATTTGCATTTTCAAGATGCTTTTATTAGTCTTTGCAGTTACTGAACCATAGAATACTTCTTGGAAGTAAACAATCGACATTATTTAACATTTAAAAAATGCATTAATCGTTTAGCTATAAAACTTAGATTAACATGCCACCAACTTAGCCGTGGCCTGGCAAAGTAATGAAAATTTTAATGAAATAAGCAAAGGCCAGACAAGGAAACATTTTTAAATTTTGTAACTTCACAGTAAATTAAGTTTATCAAATTAAATTTTCAATACAACACATTCTTTACAACTCATCAGCATGCACTGTGATAAAGTTATCACTTTTGTTAATAAACTAACAAAGTCAAAAGTCCAATTACACACACAAAAAAAAAAAACAATACCCTCAAGCTAGCTCTCAATTGAATTACGTAAATCATATTCCTCATCCCTATGAAAGTCACAAAAAAAATTTTTTTTTACCCCCAAAAAATTCTAAATGTTCAAAAGCCTCATGACACACAAGGCATATAACATATTTAGTTACCACTTGGGTCTTAACAATATTCCACCACATTATGCCTTGATGTGTAATTTCATCTTGTGTATAAATCTATACAGAATTGTACTGCTAATAATTAATATTCTAATCATTCTGTAAATAATTCTTGATGCAATAAAATACCAGAATAATTTGATGTGTAATTTCACCTCGTGTATAAATCTATACAGAATTGTACTGCCGATAATATTCCAACCGTTCTGCAAATAATTCTTGATGCAATAAAATACCACTGACACTGTGTAGGCATTAAGTTTTTTAAATATTTAATCAAAAACTGATATGTTCTTTCACAACCATGTTTCTGAAGGGTGGGATAACATTTTAATTTATTGCTATATGTAATCCTATAATGAAGAGGGGTTGAGATGAGCTGGCAGACAAGTGTCATGTGATTTGTCACTGGAAAGTAGTGTCAGAAAATGGAACTGTCTGGGTGATTACAATTATCCTGTCTTCAACAGTAATAACTTAATCTCTCACTCTCAGTCCCCACACAGACGTTCTACGGATTCCAACGGTGGGCCTAGCAACTGAAGAAAATAAGTACTTGTTGATGTTGATGTGCGGAAGACTAAGTCGTAGAGTGCTCAGAGCATTCTCACTGAGGATACCATATACATCCAGGTATAATAAATGTGGCATTGACTTTAATTCACTGAAAAAAAAAAAAGAGGAGAAAATTAGCAACTACCTATATTTTACATGCACTTTCTACTAAAGTCTCTTAATATATAAACTCATTCTCCAATACATACATTTACACACGACAGTCCACAGACTTCTGCGATCTAAACAGCAACAAAAATTGAACAATCCACCCCTATTTAACAGCCTAGATAGGAACCAAACAAAAATGTTCAAGCTAAAAAAATACTTAACATTTTAATGGTGTCCCTCATACTAATACGCAGGTGATGACGGTGTCCAACATATTACGTACACATTTTTTGTGCCTTCAAGTACACAATCTGCCAATGCTTTTGACCTCAGTTCAACTGTTTGGGTCTCCTACACCTCATGGCTTCAAAAAAATATCTAAGACCACACGGGCTCATGCAATGCATCATGGGTAACACTCCCTAACTAGCACAAGTGGCTCCTAGCAGAGGCAAGTCACTGCCAGTAATTTCCACTAGTAATTTCTTTTCCTTACAGTTACTTATCAAACACTCAAGACACAGTTCAAAATGTAACAACCATGAATGAGGCCATGAGACAGTAAAAACTGAAGAGGCATGAGAAAAAAAATTCATGTGGTTTGTACTCTCCAGACAACAATTATGATCGAGTCCAATCAAGTAAAGTGAGTAGTGTAAAGAACCTGTTGGATGTCTGAGTGACATTCTATCAAAGTACATATCAGCAATTTTATACATACCCTTTTAGCTGATTGTTGCTACCTGGCACGAGGTCATTATTCAAAACTATGTTCTGCAAATGTTTAAGCACAGATTGAATGCATATTGGAAAGTTAGGTTAAACTGACCCATGTTTATATATAGCTATCCCAGAAATAATGAAATAAATGAGTGGCTTATATCTGATAGCACAGTACACATCATTGCTGCTTTCAGTAATCCTATGCTCTCTTAGTTTTAGGGGCCAGCCTGACTGGTAGAGACCAGGCCATAATTAGCACACAGATTATTGAGCCTCCAATGTTCTTTCAATGAATGACCCACACATGTTTAGCAATTCATGAAATGCAATTCTACAAGCTGGAGGATGAGACACTACATAAGGATCCTCTGTGACATTCCTCTAGGCCAGAATTATCCAACCAGGGGTGTATGGAACTTATATTACCCAGCTCACGCTCCAACAGCTCGTCAGGTCCCAAAAACCATTCGTCTACATTCACTCCTCTCTAACACACTCATGCATGATTGCTGGAAGTCCAAGCCCCTTGCCCACAAAACCTCATTTACCCCCCCCCCCTTCAACCTTTTCGAGGATGACCCCTACCCCGCCTTCCTTCCCCTACAGATTTATACGCTCTCCATGTGGAACCTCAAAAATCGAACGTATCACATATCGAACGTTTCGAAAATAAGACCATTTTTTCGGACAAACTGTGTCCTTATTATCGAACGCGCCCCTATTTTCGGACCGCCGGGTACGGGACCTGTCTGCTGGCCCGCTCTGTCTGCGTCCCCGCGCAGGCGCCATGAGCAGTCTAGCTTTGTTTATGCTCGAGTGAGCACTAACCTGTGATATCATTCACACATTTTACGATTAGTGTGTGTTTAGTGCTTGTGGGGCTGTGAAATAAGCTGCCATGGGCCCAAAGAAACTTGCTAGCGGTACCCCTGTGGTAAAGAAAGTGAGAAACACCATAGATGTGAAGAAGGAAATAATACAGAAGTATGAGATTGGAGTGAGACTTGTTGAGCTTGCCAGGATGTACAGAGGACTGTGGACAGTTATTTTGTGAGACAGGAACAGACGACTGTGGACAGTTATTTTGTGAGACAGAAACAGACGACTGTGGACAGTTATTTTGAGAGACAAACAGATTGTGAACAGTTATTTTGTGAGACAGAAACAGACGACTGTGGAGTTATTTTGCGGGACAAACAGGCAATTGTGGAGAGTTATTTTGTGAGACAGACGACTGCGGAGTTATTTTGTGAGACAGACGATTGTGGACAGTTATTTTGTGAGACAGAAACAGAGGACTGTAGACAGTTATTTTGTGAGACTGGGGTCCAATGACTCTCAAGCTGGTCCTAGTGGCATTAAAATACAGAGAAGGGATGCAACCCCAGAGAGGGCTTTGATACCGGAAGTCCTCATGGAGGGGGATTCTCCTTCCAAACACTAACCCCAACTCCCTCTCTCCTCCTCCCTATCTTCCAGATGCCATCACCAATCTTCAATAAAGGTAAGTAAAAATGTTATTTTATATTACTATACATAATTAAAGACTATAGCATTTGTTGTATGTAAAACTGTAATTAATCTTTATAAAATGTATTTTTTTTGTGAATATTTTTGGGTTTCTGGAACGGATTAATTGTATTTCCATTATTTCTTATGGGAAATATTGCTTCGAATTTCAGACTTTTCGAATTTAGAACTAGCTCCTGGAACGGATTAAGTTCGATTTTTGAGGTTCCACTGTACTTTGATCCATTCTCTCTAAATGACCAAACCACCTCAACAACCCCTCTTCAGCCCTCTGACTAATACTTATATAAACTCCACACCTCCTAATTTCCACACTTCGAATACTCTGCATAATATTTACACCACATTCCCACGGCCTCCAACCGCCTCCTCGCTGCAGCATTTACAACCTAAGCTTCACACCCATATAAAAGTGTTGGTGCCACTATACTTTCATACATTCCCTTTTTTGCCTCCACTGATAACGTTTTTTGTCTCCACATATACCTCAATGCACTACTCGCCTTTTTTTTTCCCTCATCAATTCAATGGTTAACCTCATCCTTCATAAATCCATCTGCTGACACATCAACTCCCAAATATCTGAAAACATTCACTTCTTCCATACTCCTTCTCTCCAATGTTATATCCAATTTTTCTTTATCTAAATCATTTGATACCCTCATCACCTTACTCTTATCTATGTTCACTTTCAACTTTCTACCTTTACACACCCTCCCAAACTCATCCACTAACCTTGAGAACTTTTCTTTAGAATCACCCATAAGCACAGTATCAACAAAAAGTAACTGTGTCAACTCCCATTTTGTATTTGATTCCCCATAATTTAATCCCACCCCTCTTCAACACCCTAGCATTTACAGTGGACCCTCAGGTAATGGCATTAATCTGTTCCAGAGAGTTTGCCTTTAACCGATTTGGACGTTAGCTGAATTAATTTTCTCCATAAGAAATAATGGAAATCAAATTAATCCATTCCAGACACCCAAAAATATTAAAAAAATAATTTTTTTTTTTACATGAAATATACATTTCCCTACACAGAAAACAATGAGACATGCACAATAAACAATACTGATGTGACACTTACCTTTATTGTGGACTTATTAATGAGTGATGAGATGGGAGGAAGGGATTTGGAGGAGGTGTACTATTGTTTGGAAGGGAAATCCCCTTCCATGAAGACTTCCGGTAACAAGTCCTTTTCTGGGGTTACCTCCCTTTTTGTTTTTTAATGCCACTAGGACCAGCTTCAGAGTCACTGGACCCCTGTCGCACAAAATATCTGTCCAGAGAGCTCTGTTTCTGGTGTCTCTAAGATTTCCCTAAAATGGAACACAAGAGTGTCATTGTACATGTTGCCAATACAGCTTGCAACAGCTGTGTCAGGATAATTTTCATCCATAAAGGTTTGCGCTTCAACCCACTTTGCACAAATGTCCTTTAATCTTCAACGAAGGCAACTTCCTCGATCTCTCTTCCTCCTCCTCTAAAGCACACTCCTGAGCTGTGATCTGTTGCTGTTGCACCTGAAGCTCTTGCAGCTCTGTAGTGGTTTGCTCTTCATTGTCATCCTCCACCAACTCTTCCACATCCTCACCACTAACCTCCATCCCCATGGACTTCCCCAATGCCACAACAATGGTACAGGCTCCTCAGGGTTAGCCCCAAATGCTTCAAAATCCCTCTCTTGTATACATTCTGGCCACAATTTTCTCCAAGCAGTCACTCCCTCCCAAGCCTTACCTATAAGGTTTATGCACCTGAGGATACTGAAGTGATCTTTCCAGAACTCTCTTAGGGTCAATTCAGTGTCTGAGGTCACTTCAAAGCACTTCTGAAACACTGCTTTGGTGTACAGCTTTTTGAAGTTTGAAATGACCTGCTGGTCCATGGGCTGGAGGAGAGGAATGGTATTAGGAGGCAAAAACCTCACTTTAACCCTTTCAGGGTCCGTGCCGTAGATCTACGGCTTTACGTTGAGGGTCCAAACCATAGATCTACGCCAAAATTCTAGCGGCATCAAATTTAGTGCGAGAAGGCTGGTAGGCCTACATCTGAGAGAATGGGTCTGGGTGGTCAGTGTGCACACTATATAAAAAATCCGGATGCCCGCATGGCATTGTGGGAACGCTGCCAAAGTAGCTTTGTTCATTGTGCCTGGCGGCAAGGAAGCTCTCACTCCCCACTCACTCTCTGGGTGAAGTCTGACTCTCCTCTTCACAGCTTACAGTTCTAAGACTGATGGAAGTGGAGCTGAAGAGGAATTCTATGGTTTTGAACCATATGGTACAATGGTACCATATGGTACAATGGTATGGTACCCTGTGCCATATGGTACCCTGTACTGCATGGTACCCTATACCATATAGTACAATGTAACATATGGTACCGTGTGCCATATGGTCAACTGGAGGTGTTAGTGGCAAGAGACACCAGCCAAGACTGAGTGGGAATGCAAGCTAGCTACTGACTCAGCAGTTTCCAAGACAAAGCACTTTCTTATCCACCTCAAGGAACATGTCGAGTGGCTGTACATTTGTAAATATATAATAGAACATTACTAATATACAACATTTTTGCATATTTTTGTTGTAAACAATTATTGTAAACAAAATAATGATGAAAATATAAGTGTGTTTCTGTTGAATATAACAGTACCATATGGTACAATGAACCATATGCTATCATTGTACTGTATGGTACAATGTATCATGGTACCATTGCAACATATGGTACCATTGT